CACTTCTTTCTGATATTTTTGTTCCTCTCTAACCATGCTATTACTTTGTTTTGAAAGTTGTCATCAAATGAAACTTGATTCACTTTCCCCAAAAACATGCATCACTTATCACTTCTTTCTGAACTTGTTACAATTTCTTGTATGGAATTTGAAGGCAGCACAAATGGAATCTGGGAAGGTAGTTCTTGTTACTGCTGCTGCAGGAGGGACAGGACAGTTTGCAGTCCAGGTCTGTCATATCTCCTTGAGATCAGTTTCATATTTGCTTCTGTTGCATGCCCAGGAATGTTTGAGAAGTTCCTTTATGTTGGCGCAGTTACTTATTTCCATTTTGATTTCAAAAAAGGGAAACAAACTTGGATGGTTCCTCTATTTATTTCTTGTACATGGAAATTTATTTATGCGTTAGTGAAAGGATATAGCAGGGGAACCGATTTTCTTTTCCTTTATTAGAACTACAGTTGGTTCTTACAGAGGCTAGTACAAAGGGATTTATTGCCCAAAACACAGTTTTTGAATTTGATGGTTTTACAATGGCGAACTAGTTTACAAGATAGTAATGTGGGTTAAAAAGTAGAGAGAGAGGTTAAAAAGTAGGGATAGTGATGTAGTGGTTCAAATCCAATTAGAAAATTCAATATCTGAATTCGATTCGATATCCGACGGATATTGAAAATTAATATTCGAATTCGAATTTGACCAATTAATTATTTTGGTAATTAATAAATATATAAAATAAAAAATTTATTTAAAGTATATAAATATCTAATTATTTATATAATTTAATTATTATATATAAATTACATAAAACATTTAAGTATTTTATATATTATATTATAAGAATTAAATAATCGGTTGAATTTGGATATTTATCGAATCAAATCAGGTCATATCTGAATTCGAATCTGATTAACTATTCGGTATGAATAGGATATCTGGATTTGATTGATTAGATATTTGAATTATCTGAATTCAATTCGATTATGTTGAATCTCAAATTCAAAATCGGATTTTCGAATACCACTGACACTCCTAAGGGAGAGAGGGAGAGAGAGAGAAATTCCCAAGGAATCAATCCAAGGGTCCTAGAATTACTCTAGGGTTTGTAGGAATCAGTTCATACAACAAACTTGCAAGAGAGCTCTAAAGAAATCTTCATTCATTCATGTAGAGAAGATGGGCCGAATGGCCCATAGGTTGTTTATTCTTTCTTGTTATTTATGTTTCTTTTCTGTAATGGG